GAGAGCATGAGAAAGGCTGCCCATCCCTGGGCTTTGGGCACCCTGGTCCTTTCTCTCATTTTATATATAAGAGGATTTCAAGAGAAAAAAAAGAAAGAAAGAAAACCCTCCTGACCACTCTGTCAGATGGCACTGTTGATGGCTGGCTGGCGGTTTCTAAATGAGGAAAGGAGACTAATCACTACAGAAAAAATGAAGATTTGTTTTCTTCCTTTTTTTTTTTTTTTTTTTTTTTTTTTGGTTCGATCCCTGGTCAGGGAACTAGAGCCCGCATGCCGCAACTAAGAGCTCACATTGCCACAAGTAAAGATCCTGCATGCCACAATGAAGATCCCGCTCATGGCACTGTGCTGCAACTAAGACCCAGAGCAGCCAAATAAATAAATATTTTTTAAAATTAAACATGGTATGCCATTTTTCATCTCTCAGATTGGCCAAAATGTTAAAGCTTGATAATATTTAGTGTGGGTAAAGGCGGTATAAGGGAGTATAAGGCACATTTGTACATTGGTATTGGAATTTTTGGATGGCAATTTGTACGTATCTATACAAATGTAAAAGGGGTATACGTTTTGATTTAGCAATTCCACTCTCAGAAGGCCGAGAGCAGAGTGTATGTACGTACAGCGGGCAGAGTTTGCAATAGTAAAATACCTGGGAACAACCTAAATGTCCAGTAATAGAGACTCTGCTTCAATATATAATATCTATTCAGTGAAGTGCTATGCAAAGACTGTGCGAAGAATACACACTATTGTTGAAAGACGGTCAAGGTATACTGTTAAGTGAACATGCAGGCTACAAGAATAGTATGTTTAATGAGATAGCATTTGTGGCTGTTTTTTTTTTTTTCTAAGGATAGCTTATTCTGTTTATAATATGCTTGGATTTGTATGGATACATCTGGAAAGTCATAACTGAGGTTATTTCTTGAACAGAGGTGCTTGGGGCCAAGGAGGAGAAGGGCACTTTCTGTTCTTCATTTTATACCTTCTTTACAGTTTGAATTTTTAACCTTGAATAAGTATTACATTTAATTTGAAGAGCAGTTTTAAACCCAAATTGCAGATTTGAGCCCACAGGTGGCTTGAAGGACGCTCAGCATTTCCTTTGCTGTCCCTGCCTCATACGAGAGCATGAGAAAGGCTGCCCATCCCTGGGCTTTGGGCACCCTGGTCCTTTCTCTCATTTTATATATAAGAGGATTTCAAGAGAAAAAAAAGAAAGAAAGAAAACCCTCCTGACCACTCTGTCAGATGGCACTGTTGATGGCTGGCTGGCGGTTTCTAAATGAGGAAAGGAGACTAATCACTACAGAAAAAATGAAGATTTGTTTTCTTCCTTTTTTTTTTTTTTTTTTTTTCTTTTTTGGCCATGTGGGATCTTAGTTCCCTGACCAGGGACTGAACCTGAGCCCTTGGCAGTCAAAGTACAGGGTCCTAACCACTGGACCGCCAGGAAATTCCCTAGATTTGTTTTCTTAGAAGTGTTTTTATAGAAAGGTAATTTAAACTCACCATCTTTAGAAACTAGAGAAAAAGAATCATCCATCTCCTCTACTTACCATTTTAGTATTTTGTGGTGTTTTCCTGACTTTTTTTTGCAATGCATCTATCATATTTTAAATGGCTGTCATCCCAGGGAACATATACTCTTGTGATCTGCTTCTGTGGCTGTTATGTCATACCGTATTCATTTTCAATATTGCTGCAGGGCCAGGAAACATTAATTTGGAGGAATTATATAGCTAATGCCTCAGAAAGAGCACAAAGTCCGGAATTAGGAAGTTACCAAACTAAAGAACAGGCTGTTGGGGCTTCCCTGGTGGCGCAGTGGTTAAGAACACGCCTGCCAGTGCAGGGAACACGGGTTCGAGCCCTGGTCCCGGAAGGTCCCACATGCCGCAGAGCAACTAAACCCATGAGCCACAACTACTGAGCCTGCATTCTAGAGCCCGCAAGCCACAACTACTGAGCCCGTGTGCCACAACTACTGAAGTGTACGCACCTAGAGCCCATGCTCCACAACAAGAGAAGCCACCACAGTGAGAAGCATGCGCACCACAACGAAGAGTAGCCCCTGCTCGCCGCAACTAGAGAAAGCTCACACGCAGCAATGAAGACCCAATGCAGCCAAAAATAAATAAATAAAATAAATAAATTTATTTAAAAATAGAAAAAAGAACAGGCTATTGGGGAGCAAGCTCTTCTTCCCCCCTCCCTGTGGAAAGAGAATCTCTGAGTGGGCAGCTGAGGGCTCCCTGGTGACCTGCACCTCTGTGTTCTGAGCAAATTTGCGAATGAAAGCCAAGCTCCTGAGGCTGCAGCTGAAACACCACTTGCTCCTTTTGCTAAAGCAGCTTGTGCTGAGCACAGTTGGGGAATTACAGCTTTTACTGAGTCAATGTCCACTTGTCAACATCTGCCTGACATTGGGCTGGGAATCGTTGGAGCTCATCTTTTCATTCTGTCTACCCTTTACTAGATATGGTTGCTATAAATGTAATAACTTGCTTTTCACAGTGGATTTTCTTGAAAATCAGATTGGCAGCTTTGCATAACAACAGTCAGGACTCCTGAGCTATCCAGCATGGGGAGACCGAGAACAGCCTTAGCTGCACCGTGTCCTGGCCAGTTGACTCAGCGCAGCTGACCTCTCTGAGCCTGACCTTCCTCATCTGCAGAAGGGAGACAATAGCTGTGCCTGACTTGTGAGTTTATTGTGAGAATTAGACAAGATAACACAAGGTGGGGCTTGTAACAGAGATGGGCAAACAGAAGGCTCTCAATTGAGTTGGCTACCAAATTACCCTTAGAGAAGGAAATTGGAGAAAATACAAAAACCCACACACATATGTAGTTTATTTACAAAATCGCAGTGATAATGTACAAAGCTCAAAGTATTCACAACCATAGAGGATTTTTATTTTAATTATTTTATTTAGTTAGTTTTGGCTGCGTTGGGTCTTTCTTGCTGCGTACGTGCTTTCTCTAGTTGCGGCGAGCGGCGGCTACTCTTCATTGCGGTGCGTGGGTTTCGCATTGCAGTGGCTTTTCTTGTTGCGGAGCATGGGCTCTAGGCACGCAGGCTTCCGTAGTTGTGGCTTGCGGGCCCTAGAGTGCAGGCTCAGTAGTTGTGGCGCACGGGCTTCGTTGCTCCGCGGCATGTGGGAACTTCCCAGACCAGGGCTTGAACCCTTGTTCCCTGCATTGGCAGGCAGATTCTTAACCACTGTGCCACCAGGGAAGCCCCATAGAGGCCACTGTGCCACCAGGGAAGCCCCATAGAGGATTTCTTCCTGAGACCTCTAGAGCAAGATGTTATCAATATTTTCTGGAGTGTTTTTTTCTCTTGTTTTGTTTTTTGGGCTGTGCCGAACGGCGTGTGGGTTCTTAGGTCCCCCACCAGGGATTGAACTCGGGCCGTGGCAGTGAAAGTGTCGAGTCCTAACCCCTGGACGCCAGGGAGTGCCTGCCCTCTAGCCCACTTATTCTTTACTGTGGCACCTAGCAGTTTAACTTCTCCCTTAACTTAGTTCTCAGGACTGCACAAGGACCACCTCAGCGAAATCATCCTAGGTATCCTTACACAAGGACTCTGCCTTTTTATCTCCCTCATCTGCGACAGGGCTGCGCCTCCTGGATATTTCCTTCATCAGCACTTTCACGGCCACCCACCAGATCTGAAATTGTCCTCTTGCCCCAGAAGAGCTGCCTAATCCCCCTCCAGGCTCTCTGTCCCACTTCTTTCTCCTCTTTGTGGAACTGGGTCCTGGGAGGGCCTTGGGAACCCTATGGCTTGGTGCCCACCAGCATATGCTTCATTGTCTATCTACCTGTACCTGGATGTCGGGTCCACAGACAAACTGAACAAAGCTGTGTGGCCACTTACTTCCTCAGGGATGGGGGCAGAGACAGGGTGAGAAAGGAAGGGATGGAGGAGGGAGTAACTAGGTTTTGCAGGAGCTGGCTCTGGTGGTGGATCCAGAACATCCATCCCTGCAGGAACCTTGATCCAGGTCCCCCTTCCCGCCCCAGAGCTGTACTTAGAGGAGAGTCTGGGCAGAGGAACTGAGACATTCTGGCACCCTGCAGAAGGGGCCCTAGCAGCTCTCCAAGCCTTTCTGATTTCCTCAAAGGCCCTGTGAGCAATGCTCCCCGTGCGTCTGAATACCTGCAGGCAGGCCTCAACCTTTCCTTAACTGACCCCACCAGCTGGGCCCCAACCCCTCAGACAGGTCTGGGCTCCTTCAGCCTTCCCCTTGCACTGTTTCCAGATGTAGGAAAACTCCCTGCTGAAGACACTTCTCTACCCACCCTGGTCCTCAGCCCCCCTTCCGGTGCCCTCCCCGCAGCGGGGTCCTCAGCCCCAGCAAATAAAACCACACAGTTCTCTACAAACCAGACAACTTCCGGTGGAGCTTGGGGCTTGCTCTCCGGTCCCATCCAAATCCCTGGGATGGACGCTCCGAGAACTGCCCCCACAGGAATTTGGCTGAGCCCCTCCACAAGGCAGGATTGTAGTTATGGGTGCCGCTGGGACCATGGACGACCACTCTGTCCCCAGCCGAGGGCTTGCACACAGGGCCCGGTCCATGAGCTTTAGGGCCGAAGGGGTACAAGATTACACAGGCCCCTTGTTCATTAAATGCGCACATATTAGGCGCCTGCTGTGTGATAAGTACTGTGCTATGCTTTGTGGGGGAATGCAACATCGATGCCTGGATCCAGACTTCGATCTGGAGAAACGAATTTGTCATTGATCTTTGTGAGAAGAGTCAGCCTTCCCACGAAGACGGCAAGTGAGTTGTAACTGTTGTGACAAAACGCCGCTCAAGAGAACCTTCTCTGTTGAGGGTGGAAACTCGCATCAAGGACAAACCCGAACACAGTTCTCTGCCACACCCAAGATGGCCAGCTGCCCGGTCCCCCTGTACTGAGTTGCACGCAGGCGCACTCAGCCTGCCACTCCTAACATGGCACATCAGCGCGCCCCGGGGCGGGGCCGCGGGCGGAAGTGGGTGTGACAGGGACGGGAGCCGAGAGGGCACGCGGAGGCGAGGTACTGGGCAGTGAGAGCCGCTGGGAAGGTCGAAGTCATGATACCCCCGCAGGAGGCGTCCGCCCGGCGGCGGGAGATCGAGGACAAGCTGAAGCAGGTGGGGCTGGAGCTGGGGTTGTGGGGGAGGAGGTGAGGGAAGGGGTCGAGATCCGGGCCGGGCCTCTACTCAGGGAGGCGGCGGGAGTGGGAGGGGGCCCTCCCTGCGAGGAGACCTAGTCAGGGGCGAGGCCGTGGATCTAGGACGCGGTGGTCTCCTTTAGCCTTCGGCTTCTGGTGATGTCCTTGCCTGCGCTCCCCCCAGGAGGAGGAGACGCTGTCCTTCATCCGAGACAGCCTGGAGAAGAGCGACCAGCTCACCAAGAACATGGTGAGTAACCCCTCAGCTGGGAGGGCTTCCAGACCCTGCGACCCGGCAGTTCCCGTACCTAAGGCCAGGGGGTGCCGGTCTGGGTAGTGGTGGTGGTAAGCTGTGGGTTTCTCTAGCAACAGTGTGACATGTCTCTTAACACTCCCTTCCCCTAGTCCGCCCCTTCGCTGAGGATGCTGCAGCCCCCACTGGCCTGGACTTTCTGCCTTCTGCCTAAGTTCTCCATTCTTCCTTCTCTCCTTCTGCAGACATTTAGTGAGACTGACTTAGGTGGGCTGGGTACTGGCCACGCGTCATCGTCAATTCAAGTGAGGGTTGGACGGCCGGGTTACCACTTCTGGGATTACTGAGGGCAGAAAAAGACTCAGCCTTCACCCCAGAGGGCTTGAGGTGTAAAATGAGCTCTGAAGTCAGAGAGATCTGGGGTCTAGCCCTCGCCCCTCCACTTATCTGTGTGTGGCCCCTGACAGGTAGCTCTGAGCCTCAGTAACCTCCTCTGCTAAAACAGACGATGCCAACCTCCAGTGTAACTGTGAAGGTCATAGAAGTTAATGCATGGAGATGCATTTAGCATAGTACCTGGTATACAATAGGTCCTCAGTAAACAAGAGTTTCCTTCCTTGTTCCTAGAGAAGACTGGAAAAGCACCTGAGCAGATACAAACGAGTATGTATTGAGTACACGGTCATCAGGTGCTAGTCCTGACTTAATGAGATTCACTCTTAGAGAGAAAGGGTTTTGAAGGTACCAGCGATGCATTTGAGGCTACTCTGTATGAAACTACCTCCTGTTCAGTCCAGGAAAGCATCAGAGAGAACAGAGCTTGAGATTTGGCTTCAAAGGGTGGAAGGGAAGCCATCCTGAGGTGATTATCTGAGGAGGAGTTAATTTAATGCTTGACTTGCCTTCAGATCAAACTTCAGCCAATTTATTTGGGCCACCTCCTATGTGCCAGGCACATGGTACATTCTGGGGATACAGTGGTGAACAGGTGTACACTGTCCCTTCCCTCATGGAGCTTATTGTCTAGAAAACCAGAGAAGAGGCAGCAATTGCCAAAGACCTGGTGGGTGGCAGAAGCGGTGTGGGACAACCCTGAGGCCTGAGAGCACAGAGCTTCTCCCCCCGCCCTGCAGGTGTCTATCCTGTCATCCTTTGAGAGTCGCCTTATGAAGCTGGAGAACTCCATCATCCCTGTGCACAAACAGACGGAGAACCTGCAGCGGCTGCAGGAGAATGTTGAGAAGACTCTGTTCTGTCTGGACCACGTTATCAGCTACTACCATGTGGCCAGTGACACTGAGAAGACCATCAGGGAGGGGTGAGCTAGGGCCAGAAGGTCACATTCCTAACACCTCTTGGACCAGTGGCTGTAGGCCTTGAAAGGGAGGAGTAGAATATATTTGAGCCTGGAGTCCCCTGGGTTAATTCTCTTCTCTCCTTTCCAAATACCATTCTCTTGGTCCTTCCTTCTGCCCAGGCTAATAGGACCTTTCTCCTTTCCAGCCCCACAGGTAGGCTGGAAGAGTACCTGGGAAGCATGGCCAAGATTCAGAAGGCTGTGGAGTATTTCCAGGACAACAGCCCAGACAGCCCAGAGCTCAACAAAGTGGTAAGGGGCCAGCAGAGTGATGTGAGAGGTGTGGGGACACCAGTCACGGCCCTGGTCTCGTGAGAGACACTGAACCAGCTTAAAAGGGAATGTAGCAGAATAAACAGAAGTATGTAATACCATACACATATTGTAGGCGTTAAGATCTCTGTCTCAGGAATCACAGGTATACATTTTTATTGCATCTTAATAATAATTTAGCTAAAGTATAAGTTAAATATGAAGTATAAGTTTAACATTTGATTTTTGTAAATGGGTATTTTGTTATTGTAACAAAAAATACATAATGTAAAATTTGCCGTTTTAACCATCTTTAAGGGAACAGTTCAGTGACATTAAGTACGTTCACACTGTCGTATAACCATCTCCAGAATTCTTTTCATCATCTCGGACTGAAACCCTGTACCCATTAAACACTAACTGCCCTTTCTCCTCCCCACCAACCCCTGGCCATCATCACTCTACTTTCTGACTCAATGAATTTGACTAGTCAGGGGACCTGCATTCATGTTTTCATATTCAATTTTTTGGTGTCATATCTTTGTGTTTAAGTTTTGGGGTCTTTATTAGATCACCAGAGGGAGATGGAGAAGGGCTGGGAAGTGAGGTTTACTCAGTGCATTGAGAAAAGGAGAGAATGCAGACAGGAGAAAAGGTGGGAGCAGAGGCCCAGACATCCCAGCCACTGAGGAACATCAGAGGGCAGGCCAGCTTGGACCCCCAGTCACCTGGCACACCTTCCTGGTGGCACCACAGTTCTTGCCCTGAGGCGTGTGTCTTACCCAGAAGAGGGGGTGGGCTGAGGAACAAAGATGGGAAACTGGCTTTTCTCCCACCCGGAAAGCTGTTGCTTGGAACAGCGCCTCCCAGCTTTTCTCCCATCGTGGCCGCATCGGAAATGAGAATGTTTGTGTGGCACACTGGGGTAAAGTGGTAACTAGCCAGTGGTCTCTGGCTGCGCACAGCACCACCTGGCTACCCGGAGGACTGACAAGATCAATACCTTGGCACACCAGTAATGCAGTGGGCACACACCAGTAAAACCATAATACTGCAGCCCTTGGGTGGGCAGCGTGGACTCAGAGATTGGGATGCCAGGGGCTGGAGAACTTGATTCTTGAGGGTCTCTACCAAGTTTGGATCACAGAGTGAAGAGCTCTGTGCTAGAACTTGGATGTGGGAGTGGATTAGAGAAGGAGAATACAAAAAATATGCTATAGGTTTACCCTAGAGGACGTACTTTTCATTTAAGCAGAAATGCTCCAACTCCTCTCTCTATTTTTAAAACATCTTTACTGAGATATAATTCACATACCGTAAAATTTACCCATTGAAAGTATAAAACGCAGTAGTTTTAGTATAATCACAGAGTTGTGCAACAACACTGGAATAAATTCTATAACATTTTCATCGCCTATAAAAAGAAATCCATTGGCAGTCACTATTCTTCCCTTCCCTCCCCCATTCACCCAGCCTCTGGTAATCACTCATCTATTTTCTGTCTCTGTAAATTTACCTATTCTGGATTTCTCCTGAAAATGGAATCACACAATATGTGACCTTTCATGTCTGGCTTCCTTCACTTAGCATAATGTTTTCAAGGTTCATCTATGTGGTAGCGTGTGGAAGTGTTTCATTCCATTGTACGGTTGAATAATATTGCATTGTATGGATCTGCCACGTTTTGTTTAATCCATCCATCACTTGATGGACACTCCACTTTTTGGCTGTTATGAACAGTGTTGCTATGAACCCTTGTGTACGAACTTTTGTGTGGACATATGTTTTCAATTCTCTTATCTGCTCTGGATACCTGTCACTCATCAGATACATGATTTGCAAGTATTTCCTCTCATTCTGTGAATTGTCTTTTCACTTTTTTGATGGTATCGTTTACAGCACAAAAGTTTTTAATTTGATGTAGTCCAATTTATCTATTTTTTTTTCTTTTGCAAACCCTTTTCTAACAAGAACACAAATTAATGGTACAATGAGAAAATAATCAGCTGATATCTGTGAAGCACCTACTTCTTGTAAAACTCTGGGTTTCACCCATGAACATACATTTTGAGAGAACACAAGGGAAAGAAAGAATCAAGGAAAGCTTCCCAGCGTTTATTCTCTGGGAAAAAGGAAGTGAAGGCAGAGGAGGGCCGAGGCCCAGAATCAGGAAGACAAAGGAAGGGGATGGGGAGGCGAGGGCCTGCTGAATGCTGGAGCAGCCGTGGGCCCTCTTTCTTCTTCCCTGTAGAAGCTGCTGTTTGAGCGGGGGAAGGAGTCGCTGGAGTCCGAGTTCCGCAGCCTGATGACCCGGCATAGCAAGGTCGTGTCCCCTGTGCTCATCCTGGATCTGATCAGCGGTGAGGACGACCTGGAGGTACAGGAGGAGGTGCCCCTAGAGCATCTGCCTGAGAGTGTGCTGCAGGACGTGATCCGCATCTCCCGCTGGCTGGTGGAATATGGCCGCAACCAAGGTGAGGTGTCCTGGGGAGGCGGGGGCCCAGGCGGCAGGGCCAGAGGGAGTGGACTTTGCCCTTTGTTTCTTTAATCCACCTGCATTTCTTTTAAAACAAAGGAGTTTAGTAGGAAACAATATGAGCAATACATCTACAGCTTATGTATCAAATTATGAATCCAGCTAAATTCAAGCTTCTTTTATATACTTTACTTTCCTGTTTCTTTCCTTTTTCTGATTAATTATAAAAATTTCAAATAGCACGGAAAGGCTTAGGTGAAAAGCAAAAGTCCATCTCCCCACTTCCCTAATGCTTACAGTATCATAACCCAAAGATGAGTACTGTTAAGGTTATTTATACCCTTCCAAAAAATTCTTTATGCCACTGCGTGTGTGTGTGAGAGAGAGAGAGAATAAATATGTGTGTATCTGCTCCTCGTTCCCAAGTGGAAGGGAGCATACTAAACACTCCCCTGTGATTGTTTTTTTGGATTTTGCTTTCAACTTAGTAATATGTCTTGAGAGTGTTCCATATCAGTACATGTATATTTGCTTCATTCTTTTTTGCAGCTGCATAATATTCCATGGTATGTTGGTAACATCATTTCTTTAAATCCAGTCCCAGGATTTTTTTAAAAATCCCAAGTTAAGCAAAAAATTAAAAAAAAAAAAAAACCCCACCTGTAATGAATATTCAATTTTAAGCTTTTTAGCCCCCCACACTTTTCGTCTCTTTGTTAGTTTGTACACATACCAAGTTGTCAGCGTACGTTATCACTATCCCTGCCTTCCCTCGAGGACTCTGTGGTGCCAGGTCTCAGGGCCGCCTGTACTGACCGCACGGCCCATCTGTGGCTCATGAGCTGCAGTGTGGGAGCCGAGGGCTCGGCAGGAGCTTTTCCGGGGCTCTCTTGGGATAAGCGGGAGGCCAGTGCATGCCTCCAGACCCCTCAGTCCCCTTCAGTCAGAGCCTCAGTGCTTTGTTCCGTTTTTCACACTGGCGACACACTCGTTGGGAGCTGCTAAAATGTACCGTGGCATTCGTATCTTTTTCCTTGCTCGTTTGCATTTTTGGATTTTCCAGTTTTCCAGTATTGACAAATAGTGCTGCAGTGAGCACAATTGTATGGCTTGCTTTTCTTATTTAGGAAGTTCTCTGAGATATCTTCTCAAAGGTACAGTTATCAGGCAGAACTGTCTGAACAGATCTGTAACCTTCTTGCCGTCTTGAGTTCCTCTCCGGGTAGGTGGGGCCAGTCGACTGACCCATCGAAAATCCCACAGCTGTTTGTTCTTCATTAGCTTCATTTATCTTAGCTTTTTGACGGGGCTTTCACAATCCTCGAATTTTTTAAAATTTGCATTTCATTCATGGCTAGAGAAATGGTGTGTTTTTTCATTCAGTGACATTTGTTGTCTCTTTACCGCATATAAACTGCTCACATCCTTTGACCCCTTAGCAAGTTGAAGCTGGATGTAAACTTTACATTTTTTTTTATCTAAAAAAACCTTACTGTGGACTTCCTTGGCAGTCCAGTGGTCAAGACTCCGCACTTCCAGCACAGGGGACATGGGTTCAATCCCTGGTCAGGGAAGATGCCACGTGGCATGGCCAAAAAAAAAAGAAAAAAAAAACCTTACAGGGAATTCCCTGGCAGTTCAGTAGTTAGGACTTGGCAGTTTCACTGGCAGGGGCCCGGGTTCAATCCCTGGCTGGAGACCTAAGATCCCACAAGCCACACGGCGCGGCCAAAAATAAATAAAATAAAAAATAACAACTAATTGTTGGTTCTGTTGGGGATACTTTCCCTTTTAAGCCTTTGATTTGGGACGGACGAGGCCATGTGGGAGGCCGCTGGGAAGGGTTAGCACGGAGCAATGGTGGGCACCGCTGCTGCCCTGTGGAGCTGCATCTGGAAGTGAGAGGGAGGCCCTGGGGCCAGGCAGAGGCAGGGACCCCAGCTGTCGCCCATCTCTCCTCAGACTTCATGAACGTCTACTACCAGATCCGCTCCAGCCAGCTGGACCGCTCCATCAAAGGCCTGAAGGAGCATTTCCGGAAGAGCAGTTCTTCGTCTGGGGTCCCCTACTCCCCTGCTGTCCCCAACAAGAGGAAGGACACACCTACCAAGAAGCCGGTCAAGCGGCCAGGTGAGACCCCACCCTGGCCCACCTCAGAACCAGACAGAAGCTCTGTGGGACCCGGGTTGCCTTTGCCCACCCTGGGGGTAGCAGCCGCTACAGCTTGGCCTCACAGCGACCCCCAACTATAGGTACGCAGGACAGAAAGCAGGTGTCTACCCACCTAGCAAGGCCCCACCCGGTGAGCTCCTCTCTACCCAGCCAAGTCTGGGGGCTACATAAGTGTCCTTGGAGTGGAGGGTCACAGGCACGGAGAGGTGGGCTGACAGGGGTGCCGGGGCAGAGCCCCTTGCTGGACCGCCTATCAGGGGGCCAGGCACGCTGCTGCCGCCGAAACCGTGGACAGGACAGGGGCAGGCACTGCAGCTGTCACCTTGCAGAAAGCCAGTGTGGCTTGAAGAAGCGGATAGGGGAGAGTTTACGCTTCCGCAGTCACCCAGGAAGGGAAGTAACGCCACGCCTTCTCCAAAGAGCTTAATCCGGCTTCTGGGCTCCACCCGAAGTTAGTGCCTTGTGGCGGGAGAGTCAAGGGAGGGGTGTTGAGGTGGGAGACGCCTGGGCCTGGGCCTGGGCGTCGGTGTCCTGGGCGAACAGCTCACTGTCTGTCCTTCGCCCGTCATCGTGTCCCCTGTAGTCTATGCTCCAGGTAAACAGTGTGTCAGCTTCCGCTTGGCAAGCCTGGCTGTGTCTGGCTGCCGAGAGGTGTGGCCCTCCAGAGGCTGGGCTATTCCAGGGTGAGGGGCTGCTGCAGGCCCCAGGGAGAGAGAGCCAGTGAGGCTGGGGACTGCTCCCACCCTAGCCTTCCCTGTCCAGCTAGCTGCTGCTGTGGGCACACACCCCGGGTGCACCGGTGGGACCCGCCCCTCACGACAGCGTTTTCCTTGCCTGCCCCTCAGAGAACAAGGGGCCTGTTGACACTCGCCGCGAGCACCTGCTCTTCCTCAGGCCTTTGTTCAGGCTTCAGAGATATGGCGGAGCCGAGGGTGCCCGCAGGAGAGCAAGGGAGTAGAGCATAAGGGAATCTGGGTGGCCCCAGCAGGAAGAGCACTGCCCTCCCCCCTCCAGTGTGGATATCCTGGCCGACCCCCTGGGGAACCTGCCACAAATGGTGACTCTACTAAGCCAGCCTGTGCGGCCGCAGCTGCCTGCACCTGGGCCTGTCCGTCTCTGTGCCTTGGTTCCGGGAGGCTGCGAGGCTGCCTGGACCTCGGCGAGTCTGTGCTCTCTTCCCCTCTGTCTCTTCTCTGAAGGGCCCAGTGGAGGCCCCAGGACCCAGACTGCATCCAGGAGTGCTGCTGGCCGTGCAGGGAGCAGGGATCTGATCTCGGGGCTCCCAGTGGACCTAATCTAGCTTGGCTTAGAGCCCCAAGAGGAAAACTCGGGCTCTGAGTGTCCCTCTGGTTTCTGTGGGGTTTCAAGAGTTGTCAGGAGCTGGGGGGCTCAGGACTGATGTCAGGAACTAGGGAATCAGGCCCCTGGGACATCAGTTCCCAGCTCTTGAGGAGAGGAGCAGGGAGGCCTCGGTGGGTAATGAAACACCGACCTCAGCGTCGTTCGTGGTAATTGTGCTCCCGGTGGGTTTGGCGGCTGCCAGATCAGTGCCCCCAGCCCACGTCCACGCGAGCATACTGGCAAGGCTCCTGGAGGCCCAGCAGGCCCACCTGCTCCTGGTCGGTTGTGGGGCAGGGCACTGATTCGCTCATTAGCAGGGCTGCTCACTGAAGGGGCAGAACCCAGCCAGACAGATGCTGAGCCCAAGCCCCAAACTTGGTTATTAGTAATTAATTGCGGTTGGTGCAAACAGAAAGAAATGAGCCGCTCCAGACGCTGCCCCTTCTCCGCTAGCCTTTTGGGGAGCTGCCAGGACCCAGGAAGCCTCACTGCGTTCAGAGATGCAAGGGGGGCACCTGGGAGTCCCCAGGGAAGAGGGACAGGGTTACACTCATGGGTGCCTGCCCTGCCCAGCGCATTTTATTAACAGGGCAGCTGCACACAACGGTTTTAAATGCTGTTTTATTTCCCCACGTTTTCTGCCCTGAGATGTCTCGTTCCCACAGAGGTAGCTGACCCTGGAGGCTGTGGGCGCTGCAGTTTTGTTTTCATTGTTCTCACTTGTGATACTAACTGTTGGTTTTTTCCCCCCATGCCAAGAGCATGTGCCCTTTCCTGCTGCCCTCCCTCGTGCTCTCTGTGTGATGGCTCCTATTAACTCCTTTTTGGCTTTTGAGTTTTTCCCGATTGCTTTGGTGGTTTGGGTCCCTCCCCTGGTGTATGGGGCCAGTCTGCCTCTGGGTCTCCAAGCCTTCCATCCTGGGCGCTGCTATCCCAGGAAACTCAGTGCCATTTCACCAACTCCTGGGTGCTGCTTTCCTCTGGCTACTGTTTGGCCGCGTCCCGGCACTGAGCATGCCCGGAGAACTCTGCCTGCCCTTTGGGGAGGAGCCATGGGCCAGCCCGCTTCAAGGTGCCCCCAGGCTCTGCCACTTGGTCTCGCCTTCTGGGTGTGAGGGCTCCATCGCTAGCTCCTCCGTCCCAGGCCCTTGTCTATTTCTGAGTTAAGTGCCACTCGGTACTGTTTTTTATTTTTGGCTTCTCCTGGTGGATCTTTGCCCATCTCATCTCCTTCACCCTCTGCACTTCCTAAAATGAACTCACATCTGGAACAATGAGGGTCACTGGCAGGATCAGGAGCTCCGCTGGGGGAACGAAATGTGTCCGTTCCTCCATCTCCTTCTGCGGGGCCTCCGGCGGGCCCGGGAGAGGCCCGCTGGGAGAGATGGTACCCGGGCGTGCTCTCTGCTGGGGGTGGGCGTGGGCCTGGGGGGCAGGTGGAGGGCTGCTGCTGTTTTCTCTCACTCGTTTCCTAGGTCTTCTTATCTCCTCTCTGTGTGGCTCTGGTGACAGGGACGATCCGTAAGGCTCAGAACCTTCTGAAACAGTATTCCCAGCATGGTCTAGATGGGAAAAAGGGGGGCTCTAACCTCATTCCTCTGGAAGGTAATCATCCTGTGTTCCTCTCCTCTTCCCTCCTCCTCCACCGTGTGTCCACTCACGTGGTAGGGCAGAGCCTCCAACCCCCCAGAGGGCCTCGGGCGCAACCCTGAGAGGGGACCAGGGGTGGGAACTGAGGTCCTGGGCCTCTGACTCCAGCTGGCTCGGGGGCAGCTTTCATGGCCCTTGGCCTGGTCCTGTCTGGCTGACGGCGGCTCTGCCCTCCCGGAGGCTTCCCGCTCCCTCCCCTCCCTGTCTCTGTCCTTGTCTCCTATTTGAACTCAGAGAAAGTTCTTTGTCACGGGCAGCCCTTTCACGCTCAGACCAGTAGTGGCAGGACCAAGGCGGCCGAGGCCTCCTGGCCGCCCCCCTCCACCTGAAAGGCGAGCATGTGCCACAGGGGACAGGCAGCCCGTACACCATGTCCCTGCCTCCCTCCCATCAGAGGAAGGACAGCCCTGCCCTAGTGGGCCAGATCCACCTTCAAAAGAATGACTCTGGGGGCGAAAAGAAGCCTGTCCCCACTCACTGGGCAATGACATTTCTCTAACTGGATCTCTCCCCAAATATGGTGAGATAAACCCCCTGGGGCTGAGCATCAGTCCTTCCGCAGCTGCTGGAAACGCTTCAGAAACCCGGCTTTCTCTCAGCCTCCAGGCGTGGGGAAACCAGCTCCTGAGGATGGTCTGGGGCACTGCAAGTCACGCTTGAAACGGCTGTTCCCAAGGTGGTCTGAGGCAGAGGAGGGGCTCAGAGCCCTCTCCAGTGCCCCTTCCCCTACACCCCATCTCACATCCCCCCCCTGGAGGTCGAGGGCTTCTTCCCAGTCCCCCGAGAGGCAGCCACCCCGCCCCTGGATAAACGCTGCTTGTGTTTGCGGCCGACGTCTCGCTAGGTCACGAGCATGATTTCCGAGTTAAGCACCTGTCCGAGGCCCTGAACGACAAGCACGGGCCACTGGCCGGTGAGTACTGCAGCCCAGCCCGAGGGCAGCCGCCGCTGCATGCACGGCCGTCCCCAGAGGGCCTGCTCCGGCCTGGCCTAGCCGGCCGCTCCGCTCCAAGGATGAGCCCAGCCTACTCGCCTCTCTCTCTCTCCGGTCTGTCTCTCTTTTGGGCACTAGGTCCCCTTGCCTCTCTCCAGGTGGGAGTGCACGCCTGGCTCTCAGGGCCTGGGCCAAGGGCAGAAGTTGCTGCCACTCGGAAGGCGGGCAGAGAGGGCAGGTGGGCCCCTGGAGGGCAGGCGGGCCCCTGGAGGGCAGGGAGCATCAACACCTGACTCCAGCGATGGCTCCAAAGCTCTGACTCCTCGGAGCCCGTCCCTCGGCACATAGGACCAGGTTGCCTGCGGGCACCCCTGCCCCAGCCTCCAGTGCAGTAGCGGGATCCTGTCTCCTGCTGGGGCAGCTGACAACCAAGGAGCCCTCCCCCTCTGAGGCTCACATTGCCTCTTCTCCAGTTTTGACGCCATGCCAGCTAGCCTTATGGACCAGAGCCCACTGCCTTTTTATACATTCCAGAAGGCCTGGCGGGGCTGGTATCTGGCTCCAGAGGCCCAGCATTTTCGGACATGCATGACCACTGTGCCTGCCTCCCTGAGGTGGACGTGGCCACTTGCCCATCCCTGGGTGTCCTCTTCCCAGTACAATTCAGAATCCTCAGTCTTGGGGTCAGGCGTGTCTTATCCAGGAAGTCGATTGGGGGATCTTCTTATCCTTTTTATCCATCTCCCCAACACCTCTCGTACCTGACATTCTGGAACAAAGGCTGGACTCAGCCCATTTTTCCTCGCGAACCCTGCCGGGCCTGCTGGAGTTCTCTCAGCTTTCTGCCAGCACAGTCGCCTTCCCCATCTGCTGCTAGTCTGGCTACAGGCCAGGAACTGGGGAGGCTCGTGCCCCACCCCCCAACAGGGAGAGGGTCTGCCCCAAACCAGTAGCTCAGGGGCACTGCTTTCCCCCCAGGGAGAGATGACATGCTGGACGTGGAGACCGACGCCTACATTCACTGCGTCAGTGCCTTTGTCAAGCTGGCCCAGAGCGAGTACCAGCTGCTGATGGACGTCATCCCTGAGCACCATCAGAAAAAGACCTTTGACTCTTTGATACAGGTCCTGCCCCTGGGCCCTGACCAGATGCCCCAGCATGAGCTGTCACTGTAGAAGCTTGAGTTCGGTCCGGGCATGCGGTCCATAGCCCTCAACTCCAGCCACCACCTCCACCTCCCATCCTGGGGATCTGTCCTGGGTGGCATGTCCCAGTCGGGACCTCCCCATTGGGGGCATACTTCCCCCACGCCCCTCCAGGTGCCCTCACCGTCCCTGGGAACCGGCTGTCTGCCCCCTCCCCTGAGCCCTCTCCCCGCCCCGCTCTCTCAGGATGCCCTGGACGGGCTGATGCTTGAAGGGGAGAACATTGTGGCTGCTGCCCGGAAGGCCATCATCCGACACGACTTCTCGGCTGTGCTCACCGTCTTCCCCATCCTGCGGCACCTCAAGCAGACCAAGCCTGAGTTTGACCAGGTGCTCCAGGTATGTGGGTGAGGATGCCCTTGGGGACCCCGGAAGGAGGAATCCTGCTGCCCAGCACGGCCCCCCAGGAGAACTGTGTTCTCTACCCCCACGGGTCCGCTCCGAGGGTGAATGGCAGCAGCTTCCTCGGGGCCCCGGGCATGTGGAGGTGCTCTCAGGGTGAGTGAAGAGGGGAGACAGTCCCCTGGGGTGAGGGGCCGGGAAGGAGCAGGGCCCCACGCACAGCCTATAGCCGGATTCTGGCGCCCTGTGCAGCCATGTGCTTCCTCAGGGGACGGCGGCCAGCACCAAGAACAAGCTGCCCAGCCTCATCACCTCCATGGAGACCGTTGGAGCCAAAGCGCTGGAGGACTTCGCTGACAACATCAAGGTGCTCTCCCTCCCTCCACTGCTGTGCAGGACGGCCCGTGGGGCTGTGGGCAGGGCCGTCGGTGACCTGGCTTGGAAACTCTTTCTGAAAGCAGGCCTCTAAGAGGGGTGGGCCTGCCCTGTGGGGAAGCCGGCCATGCTGCTAGTCTCCTGTCAGTGCCCACGGGCCTCCCTTTCTTCCCCAGGGGCTCCAGAGGCCCCCACCCCAGGCGTCAAGCTCCTGCCCCGCTTTTCCCATCTAGTCACGTCTGTATGTCTGTCCCGCTCACCTTTGTGCCCAAGGGGCATCCTGACACCTGTCTGCCAGGAGGTGGCGCCATGAGCCCGCAGACTGCGGTGTGGGGTGGGCGCGGGACTCCCCGGGAGCTGCTTCAGGGAGTCAGGCTGCTCTTCCCACAGAACGACCCGGACAAGGAGTACAACATGCCCAAGGATGGCACCGTGCATGAGCTCACGAGCAACGTAGGTGCTGCCCGGGGGCTCCTGGGGCGGGGAGGGGGCGCAGGTGGCAGGATGGGCTGCAAGGTGCTTAGTGCCCCCAGCAGACAGGGCCTTTCCCAGGAGGCCAAACCCACAGGGTGAAGCACGAAGTTTGCAGCCACCCTTTTCACTGGGCAGGCCCCTGGCCCTGTACCTGTCCTGGAATGGTCAGAGGGGGTGAACCGTAGGAGGTGATCCGACCTTTGGGTCCTGCCCTTGACCTTCTTCCTGGACCTGTTTTCTCCCCACGCAGGCTATCCTCTTCCTGCAGCAGCTCCTGGACTTCCAGGAGACGGCGGGCGCCATGCTGGCCTCCCAAGGTACTTGGCACCTCCCAGCGGGGCCCCATGCCCCACTCCTCCCTCTGGCCTGGAGACGTGGGGTTATCCCCCTCTGGGTGAGGAGATTTCCCCCGCCCTGTGGAGTGGGAAGGAGATGTGGCCTGTGGGGGGACCCCCAAGCTGCTTGGGCCATCTGGGCCCAGCATCAGGAAAGCAGCCGGGGTTTGACTACCTTTCCTGGCCTCCATCCCCTCTCAGCTCCCTCCACTGTCCTCACTCTGGAGAGCAGAACTCACTTGTTTGGAGGTGCCCTTCCCGCCCCGCCCCTCCTTCTGCATTTCCCCACCTCCTCTTGTGTTGCCTTCCCTCCTAATTAGTCCAATACAGCTGACCCTTTACAGCTGGCATCTCAGGGCCAGCCTGGTGTCTTCCAGTGACTGTGACTGCTGTCCTGGGACTGGGGCTCAGGAGGTTAGCACGTGGGGAAGAGCGCGCTTCGGAGCACTGAGACCCAGCCCAGCTTGTTGGGCCCCAGGCCTTCCCTTTTCCCCCCAGTCTAGGGGCAAGGAGCCAAGGTGCAGCCTCTGGCCTGTGGTTCTCCAGATGTCCACTTTCCAGTGTGTCGCTGGCCTTCAAGGGTCCAGCCTGGGCTGTCCTGTTGTCTGTTTCTGGCATCGCGGGGAGTGGTCTGCTTGGCTCGGGTGTTGCGGCCGTTTCTAACCTGTTTTTGCACTTTGCATCTTTCTCCCTCCTTTGTCTCTCCCCGCCTTCCCCTCTGTGCGCACTGCCTCTCACTGCGTAGTTCTTGGGGACACATACAATATTCCTTTAGACCCCCGAGGTAAGCAGCAGGGCTCTGCAGCCCCATCCTTCCCCTCTGAAGCCCCATGAGTGAGGTTCCCTGGGGACAGAGGCACCTGGACAGACTCAGGACCCCAGTAGGAGCAGGGTCAGAGGGGACACGGCTCCTTCCGGGTGCTCCCAACCCTCTCAGCTCCCTGACGGCCACTTTCTGTCTCTGGGTTTCTCCAGGCAACATCCTGCTGTGTCCAGCACCCTGAGTACACCCTTCAAGCTGGTCCAGCACCTCCCTATCCCCTTCCTCCCCCATCTGCTCCCTTCCCCCCTTGGTTTTCTGCTCTGTGCAGCCAGCAAGTCTCTGTTCAGAAGGGCCTGGTAGAGGAGGTTGTGGACAGTGGGGGTGAAGGGGGAGAGGCCATGGGGGGGCCTATTCTAAAACTCTGTTGCTGACAAATGGGAGAAGTGGGCCTTGTCGGTACCCCCAGCATGGGTCGGGGGCTGGGTTGCAGAGGCTGTCCCGTTCCTGTCCTGCCAGCCTTCCTGCCAGCCCTGGGCCCGCTCATTACCCCCGCCAGCCGAGACCATGGAGGCGCCGGCCTTGGGTTCCAGGAAGAGTCCCAGGGAGCGCCCCCCGCAGCGGGAAGGGAGCCCTGTAGCTCAGCACGTCCCCGGGAGGCTCGGGCCCCTCCCAGGGTTTCCTCAGCCGCTCCGCGGGCCTAGGGGAGGCCAAAGAGGGTCTCAGCTGCTGCCACGGCTGTGGTAACAGGACTCCTCCTCTCACAGAGACCAGTTCCTCAGCCACCAGCTACAGCTCCGAGTTCAGCAAGCGCCTCCTGAGCACCTACATCTGTGAGTGCGCCCCGCCAGTCAGCAGCCTCCGGCGCCCGGCCTCCCTGCCTCCCTGCCTCTTCCCTTCCATCTCCTTTCTGTGCTCTCCTGCTAGTCCAGGTCCCGCTCCTGAGCACCAGCGCCCCGACTTTAAGAATCGCAGCCTGACCTCTGGTTGGGGGGCCGCGGGGGCTCGGCCAAAGGCTCCCAAGGCTGGCGAGGCTGGTGGGGTCTCGAGTCCGGGAGGAGCAAGGAGCGACGGGTGGGAGTTGGTCTGTGGGCCCCAGGATTGGGTCATTTGGGTCAGACTGCCACGGGAGGCATGACCACATCCTGCCCTGTGCAGGTAAAGTCCTGGGCAACCTGCAGCTGAACTTGCTGAGCAAGTCCAAGGTGTATGAGGACCCGGCTCTGAGCGCCATCTTCCTGCACAACAGCTACAACTACATCCTCAAGGCGCTGGAGAAGTAAGTGGCTACGGGTGCTGCTCTGCAGCTCTCACCTGCCCCTGCCTGGCCTGCCGCGGCTGGCTGTGCCCCCTCGTGTCCGGGGCGGGGAGGACACCGCTTTACCCTTCACAGTCCCAGGACCCAGGGAGGTGGGAGGCAGGCCCCACTGGTGTTGCTGCAGAGGCCGGCAGCCTTTCTGTCGCCCTCTCCTCTCTCTCCTGCTCCCACCCCAGGTCTGAGCTGATCCAGCTGGTGGCCGTGACCCAGAAGACTGCCGAGCGCTCCTACCGCGAGCACATCGAGCAGCAGATCCAGACTTACCAGCGCAGGTGGGCCTCTGCCCACCACCCCCCCGCTCCCCGACCTGTGTACCCACCAGTGACGCTTGCTTCTCAGAGCCTCGGGATGCCGGGCCCAGTCAGAGTGGGCCCAGTGGCAGGGAACTGCCACCGGGGGAACCCCAATATCCTCTACTTGTTTTTAGTCACACTCATGGGGCGGAGAAGGGTAGTTGCCGAGGGCGACGACTAAGATGGTTGAAGGGCTGCTCGTCAGAGATGTGGGTAACGTTCAGACCAAGTGAACAGCAAGCTCACAAGGTGCCTTGAACTTGGCTGAGCCTCACTCTACAGGGCTGTCTCTGCCGCTCCCCTCCTGTTTCTTAGTTTGTGCATCTCTCTCTCCCTTTGTGTGTTTCTTCCCCGTGACCGTATCTCCCTCTGCTTTCCCATTTATCTGTCCTCCGTTCCCTCTTTTCTCATCTGCTTCTCCATCTTAATTGGCCATGATATCAACGTGAAGTGTAGTTGGTAGTGTTTGTTCAATTTATTGAATGTTCTGTTTCCTGTTCTTAATTTTAAAAGCGAGCAGCTTGAACATTTTTATTCCCAAGGAAAAAGATCTTCAGCTGTGTTTTGCTTAGTTACAAGCCAGACTGATCCCTGCCCTCACCCTCTCCCCCAGTAGATCAAGAGATTTTTTAAAAACAAAGCAATCCAGCCCCAGGGAAGGAGCAGCTGCCTGAGGCTGTCCCTTTTCTGCCCTCTGCTTCCCTCCCTGCCTGGCAGTTGGTTAAAGGTGACTGACTACATCGCTGAGAAGAACCTACCTGTGTTCCAACCCGGAGTCAAGGTGGGCTGAAGGCCTGGGCTGGGAAGGGATGTCTAGCAGATGTGGTGCTTTCTGTTGTGTCTCTGGGGAAAAAAAGACAACTGGGATGAGAAAGCAAAGGACGCCCATGGCCATCCGGGCAGCAGGGGAGAGGGCTGGGCTTGGGGTTTGGGGAAGGAGCAGGGGCAGGACGATCCTGCTCTGAGGGACGCTTTCTCTGCCGTCTCCCCTGGCCCCCCAGCTTCGGGACAAGGAGCGGCAGGTGATCAAGGAACGTTTTAAGGTAAGTCAGGCTCCTCCCCGCTCCACTGATCGCCACTGCTACTGTAGCAACACAGACTCAAACGTTTGTCTTTGGGTCACTTCTGTTTCCACCGTTTTGGTGACCAGGGCTTCAACGATGGCCTGGAAGAATTGTGCAAGATACAGAAGGCGTGGGCTATTCCCGACACAGAGCAGAGGGACAAGATCCGCCAAGCCCAGAAAAACATTGTTAAGGAGACCTACGGGGCCTTTCTGCACAGGTTAGCCCTCCGTCTCTGCCCTCCCAGCCCCACGCTCCCCGCTGCCCTGGCTGGACCACTGGGCCCTTCTCTTCTTCAAGGAAACCTGGAGAGGGTGGTCAGGGTTTGGGTGGCAGATCCAGTGCCCAGGGCTTTGGTGTGGGGCCAGACCCGGACATCACCCAGGGGCACCCCATCGGGAGGGCCTTAGGCTGAGGCAGAGCTGGGGAGGGGCTAGGCGTCCCCACTGACCTCAGCGCCTGGTCAGGTATGGCAGCGTGCCCTTCACCAAGAATCCTGAGAAGTACATCAAGTACCGTGTGGAGCAGGTGGGCGACATGATCGATCGCCTGTTTGACACCTCCGCCTGAGCCGCCACTGCCCCTGCCTGGCTCTGCCAGACCAGCCATGTTATCGGACAGATAAACCAGTGTTAACTTGCCTCTGGGCCTGGTGAGTGTGGCGTCCTTTGACACAGGGGTCTTTCTCCACCACCCCGACCAGGAGCCCTGTCCCTGAGCCCTCGGGTCCTGGTTTGCCCTTCCTCTCGCAGCCCCCATTCCCCACACAAGCAGCGCTCTCCTGGAACTCTGGGGTTCCTCCGCACCTTGGGTTTCATGACCCTGACTGCAGCCCGCAGGGGCCACGTGACGGCTTCAAGGCAGGAAGGACAGAGAAGGAAGACAGAGGTCTGTGCCCTCAGCCGCCTTGTGTGGACAGGAGCAGGAGAGCAGAGCAGGCCCAGCCCTGGGCCAGCTCCGACTTGGGGATGGAGAACCCCCTTCAGCCCAGGCGTGAGGGTTGGGCTCAGAGGAGCAGGCCACACTGCAGCCACAGGGCCTGGAGAAAGGCACGCAGGGTTGACCCGCTCTCAGATTCAGTGCAGAGACCGCATTCCCCATCCCCGCAGTCCTGCTGTCTGGGGGGTTCTGCCCCCGAGGTATCCCCCCGGTGGCTGGAGCGGGAGTGCTCTGTCCCCTGCCCTCTGGGGGCCAGCGCTCCGCAGGACTTCACAGAGGAGTTCTGACCACCCCGTGCCTGGAGCCAAGCACCAGTGGTTGCAGAGGAGCAGTTAGGCTGTGTGTGGGGACTGGGTGACCAGTGACCAGTCGTGAGACGATCTGGGGCAGAGTGGGGCTTGGGGGCATGAGATGGGCCCCACCTACTTCGACAAGAGTGAACAGCTGAGCTCAGTTAAGACACATCCCTGAGGTGCCCTTGCACTGGGATGATGGGTTTATTCCACACTCTTTGCTTGCATGCTAACAGAAGGGAGAGCTCAGGGTGGCCTGGGGTCCTCCAGGCTTAGGGAAGAGAGTCGACCTCCCTACCCGCTCTTTCCTGAGACCCTCTCACAGCCCAAACCCTCAGGTCTGTAGCCCCAGGCCCTGCCCCTTACAGCCTGGGCCACCCGCCGTGGGGTGCAGCCTCACCAGGGGCTGGGTCCGACTTGCATGTCGCCCACGTCCAGAGCACAGCGAAGATGAACTGGCTACACAGCACCCCTGCCACGTACACCAGGAAGATGTGGTCAGCGGCTTCAGCCCAGCTCCTCCTGGACTCCTTTACTCCTCTGGAGGCTTCTGTGTGGGGAGAGGCGGGAAAAGGAGGTGTGCTTCAGGGCTCACCTGACACGCACGCTCTCCGGGAGCAGAAGGGTCAATCCCAGGAGGTGCCAGTCTGTATTTCTCCCTTCGTTAGAGTCACAACTAATGAATGTTTGGGTCTGGCCCATTCTAGGTCATCCTGAGTTGAAAAAACGTCCCACAAGAGAGGCTCTGCAAGGCAGAGGGTTGTCCCAGGGAGTCTGAAGTCACCCGGGCCTTTAGGGAGGCTAACCCTGTTCCAGACCTGCTGCTTCCAAGGGCAGCCGTGGTGGAACCCAGGGACAGTGGAGCCAGCAGAGTGGATGCAGGAACCTCTAAAACAGCCTGGTAACCCGCAACCCCAGCCCGCCAGCTCTGCCCCTAGGCCTCTTTCCTCAGCAGCCCCCAAGGAACGGGCCCCAGGCCCTGGCCACCTTCAGGATTGGGCCCTGGGTTCCCACAGTCGTGCCGCTCCCCGCCCAGGACTGGGCTGGGGCTGCTCTCAGCCCTGAGGTTGCTGTGGGCCAGCAGCCCGGACAGCAGCACGGTCTCCGTGGTGCTGATGAAGAGCAGCAGCAGCAGGGCAGTGACGTAGTGAACCGGGGAGGTGGGCAGGGAGGGGGCGACAGCAGGTGCGGGCTGAATGAGGTGGGCCCAGCACAAGGTGGTCCTGCCCCCGGCCAGGCGAGGGTGTGGGCCTTACTGAGCCGTGGGTTGCAGGAGGAGAAGCTGGGCAGGGCCTGCACCAGGGAGGAGTGGAAGACGAGGTAGCCCAGCAGCAGGGTCACCTTGTAGGCAGTGCGCGCCGTCCGGAGGGGCAGCAGCGCCCCGCGCAGGTCAGCCAACAGCAGTGCCTCCCCGGGTACCAAGAGCGCTATGATGGCCTTTAGCGCTGTGTTCTGCAGGCGCAACTGGAAAGAAGGAGGTCGGGGCTTTCCAGTGGGGGTTGCGCAGGGGTGGGCGGTAGAAGGGTGATGTCACGGCCTCTGGCTATGCATCCTCGATGCCCCCACCAGCCCTCGGCAGCCACCTCCCAACTCATCGTCACCTGGAAGCAGGGCACCAGCTGCTGGGATGGGACTTGGGTTTTCAAATCCTGAACTACGTATTCCCTCTTGACACTCACCATCTCATTCACCACATGGGCCTGGAACTCCAGCTCCATCACTGAAGGGGTGGGGGTGAGAACAGTGAACTAGAAATTCCCCTGCCCCTGCATCTCTCTTGGGAGTAGGGGCAGGGACAAGCTGGAGCCCAGGGATACTGGAGCCCTGTGTTGGTTGCTGGGGGCAGACTTGTAAACCGGTCTGTACAAGGGCTTTCCAAACCGGATTTTGCAAGACCCCAAGTTTACTCCAGTTAGAGGAAGGGCCTTACCAGATTCATAGATGAATTTTCATTGTGAAAAGAAATGCACCACTTCATGGAGGCGAACATGGTCACAGACTCATTCACCAGTATATCATCTCACACCTGAAATAATTAAGATTCACGGGGCAGCAGCTGTGGTATTTCCCAGAGGGCAGGGATATAGGGAAGGATGGGACTTTGCCACTGAGTTGGACGTCACCTGCTGGGCTTGTAGGATATTCACTGGGCGGCTACACCTTCGGGATGTTTCCAGGAATGAGCCTGCAGTAGCCTGAGCCTCTGGGCTTGACACAAGTGTGCAGTTTGGCCCTGGCTGTCGGGGGCATTGCTCTGGGGTAGCTGATGGGGGAAAAGAGAAGACTGGAGGGGGGCTGCGGCCTAGAGCAGGGGAGGACTAGGAGGTGGGGCTGCTGTTTGAGTGGGAGGTGCCCGGTGAAAGCAGAACGATCAGCTCCCCTAAGCCTGGGGGTGGACTGGTGTGAACACAGGCCTGGGACCTCTGTGTCAGGTGTTCGCTGGAGGCCAGAGGCTCCCCTCTCCCTTCATCTCCCAGCTCCTGTCCTGTCAGCACCAGTGTTGCCAAGAGCGAAGAAGCCGAGGCTGCAGGCGCTCTGGTCCCTGGGGAAGTGGAAAAGCCCAAAGTCACAGTTGGTCTCCGTGGTGAGGGCCAGGTAGAGCTCGATGTGGCCATCCCGGTCCACTCGGGCCTGTGGGCTCTGGCCCTGCCAGTTCACCCAGAGCCTGCAGAGGGAAAGGTACCACAGCCAGTGGCCCAGCTCCTCCTCAGAAGGGGGAGGAGGGGGAGACCCCAGCATATGCCCAGCTGCCATCCACTGCCCTCGGGGTTCCAGAAGGGGCACCATAAGGCATGGGAGTTGTGCCAGTGGTCTGGCAGGGCCACCAGGAGGGGAATATTCAGCAAGAGGACCTCCCGGCCGTAGATGGGGAATAGCGAGGACTATGCCTGCCCAGTTCCTGAGACAAGAACCCCCGCCTCACTTCACGCCTCCCGGATAGTGAGTCCTGGTGTCCCGAGAGAGTCCCAGGGCAGCGTGACTCTGCCCTGCCGGTGGCCAGGCGAGTGTCCAGCCAGGACTAGGGACACAAGGATGCTACCAAGGCTCCCACTCTCCGTATATATGCGCCCCTGGGCTTGGCAGGTTGATGAAGGCCAGTACTTCTGTGCTGGGCTTACAGAGGCCTCCCTTCCTCAACCCCTGCCCCCACACTGGTGGTGGGTGCTCACCAGCCGAAGCAGCATCGCGGAGGACACTGTGTTTCGCAGGATGTCCTGGGGGAGGGGGGCAGCAGGTCACCTCAGGGGTGGGTGCTACGTGACAAGAAGGAAGGAGACCCCAGCACTCACTAGGCTGAGTCCTGTTCCATTCCTAGCTCATCGCTTGGGCCCCTGAGTCCTCCACAGCCTGAGGACACTTACCACGCTAAACACGTTTGGCACGAACGCCTGCACGTCCACGAGCAGGGACGCGCTTCCGTTCGGAATTCTGGGTGGTTTCCTGAACCTCCTGGGTTGAGTTGAGGTTAAAGAAGGATGGCCAGGCTGAGGGATGGAGGTCGAGGCCACCCAGTGCCCTGGGGCCCAAACCCCAAAGCTTAAGGCCCTATGCTGTTTACCTGCGAACCGCCGGCACGCTGGAGCCACAGTGGGGTTCCGAGCCTTGAGGAAGGTGAGATGGATCAGGAGCCGCAGGGCCATTGGCAGCAGCTGCTCGGAGGGGCTGGATGGAGCAGCAGCGCCAAACTACGACTTCCACTTCAGTCACTTCTCTGAGCGACTGGGCAGTTCGTCGGAGGCAGCTGTTCTGCGCACCAACCCTGGAGCCTTGGACTTGGCACACCCCCACCCCAGGTTCAGCAAATACCTGAAGACAAAGCTCAGGACCCAGCCCCGCCCACCTGGCACCTGCCTATAGGCTTCCCGGTCCTGCTCCATTTCCACCACCTGGAACCAATCATCACACTCAAACCCATCAAGCAGACCAGGGAAGCGTGGGACCCCTGCCCAAACACACACACACTTTTCTCGGACACTGTCCTTCCAATCTGGCCAGGTGCAGCCTCTGTTTCCACAGCAGGCACCGCCTCGCTAAATACCCAGACCCTTACCAAAGTGCTCTGTGCTCAAAGACCTGAAGTGGGCACACCCTTGGGTTATCCTGCCTCTCCTCAAACACTGAACTAATTTCATGTAAAAAGCTTGGCTCAAGAACTCCGGGAGTGGGGCAAACCTGGGGACAGGTAGAGGCTAGCTCCTGACCAAAGCTCGGGGGCATTTTTGTTCGGGTCGGGATTCTCAGCCTGCCCCGGTCCAGCAGTGCCTTAGAACCGCTGCTGTGCGCCCCAGAGCAGGACTGACGGGTGTGCGGGTGACTTTCCTGGCCTGAGGATAAACCAAGCCCTTGGAGACCAGATCCCAGATAGCTGCAGTGAAGGAAGGAAACCCAAAGGCTGAAGGTGGGTAGGCACTGCTCTGGCTGGCATGACTCCAAGGGACGCCAGGGAGCTGGGAACAGGCAAGGACTCGCCACCCGCAGGCGCACGAACGCTACTGGGAACACACATAGTGTCCAAGTCTGTCATCGACCGGTTTATCGAGCGCGCTTAAACACTCAGCCCGCCTTTGTCGCGCTCACCGGCGGCTGCCGGTTCCCCGATTTATATACACCTGGCGCTTCCGCATGGCCACGTGCAAAGAGCCTTCGGTCGTCCCGCGCTCCCCAGCCTCAGTTAGGGATTTCTACGCGGACTTTAACTCTGCCGCCTTCGGTGCGGGCCGCCCTCTTTCCTCGTAACTAGGCAGGGCACCCTGCCGTCATTTATCCGGAGCTCCCCTGTGAAGTCGTAGAGCCTCTTGAGATATGCGGAGACACGGCGCGCCAATGCACGCGGAATGGATTGCGTGTTTTATGAACAGATGAAACTCCCTCCACGATCCCCCGACCTCTGACTCCAATCTTTCAACACCCAGGTGTACTCCCTAAGTGCCTTCGGGTCACATTAACTGTCAAGATGGCTTTGGGAGCCTTTTGGTCCCGCCAGGGCAGGCTGGGAACCAAGCTCGAGGACTGGCAGCTAAGAGGCGCCGGCGCAGGAGCAGAGGGCCCGGCTGCCTCACTCACGTGCGTTACGTCGGTGGACTCGCGCTCCAGCACGCTGCCGTTGTGGGTGCCCTGGGCCGCGACGCACATGCGGCCGGAGGCTCTGCGCGGGGCGCGGCGCAACAGGCCCGCGCAGATCTTGCGGAAGCCCTTGCGGAAGTGCTTGGAGACGAGAGCGTAGACGATAGGATTGACGCAGGAGTTGGAGTAGGAGACGAGGTGCGAGAGGATACGCAGCGCGTAGGTAGCGCGCGTAAGGGGGAAGCGGCCGAACCACACGCAGAGTGGTGAGCGTGGTGAGGCATCCAACAGAGGCAGAAGAGCGCGGCCACGATGATGATCATACGCGTCAATTTGCGCTCGGCGCGCCGGGCGCCCGAGCCGGCGGCCGCCGGGTCGACGGCGCGCCAGAGGTAGCGCAGGGTGCGCGCGTAGGTCAGGCCGAGCACCAGCACGGGCAGCAGGTAGCTGAAGACAAAGGTGCAGAGGTCCATGGCGCGGCGGCGAGGCGCGCTCCACGCCGGGTGGCACACGGTCAGGTTGGCTAACCGTAACTGGCGGTAGTAACTCAGGTCGGCCCGGAAAAGAGCAGCGACAGCCCCCAGATGAGCCCGATGGCCGCCAGGGCGTTGCGAGGCGTGCGCAGCTCGCGGGAGTGCAGCGGGTAGCGGATGGCCAGATACCTGCGGGTCAGGCCAGAAAGGGAGACGTCTGGTGTGCCGGCGGATTCGCGGAGGCAGGGCCGGACCCCTCCACCTCGAGCTCCACGCTCACTGTCGAGGAATGTCTCTAGCGCACGGTAATACCGCACAAGCCCGGAGGGCGACACAGAGCATCCCGGACACCCTCAGCCGCGCCTACATGTGGGGCGGGACCCGGCAGCAGGAAAGGCCACTCATCTGCTCTTCCTGAGACTACGACCACAATCGGATTCCACCCGGGAGGGCACCCCGAAGATTAAACCGACTTTGGGGCTCCGGCAGGCTGTGATTACCCACCAGTGATGGTGCCCGAAGAGGTAGGACCCAGGCGCCTTGAGGCCCTAGGAGACAGCCTGGAGACACTGTCAGGCAAGGTACCGCGAGGGAATTCCTTAGAGAAGCCGACGTTCTATGGGTCCCATCAGTGCTCTCTTCTTGGAACCAACACACTTGGCATTCAGTGGAACTGGGAGGTATATGGGGAATGTGGCCTCACCTCGCTGCCTGTCCAGGGAAGGTTGGGAGGACGTGGGGACGGAGGGGGCCGGGGAGATACCGGGATTCCCTCCCTAGGAATCCCCTAGGTGTTCTTTCAAGCTTCAGCTTCCAGGGGGACCCTTGAGCCCGCTCCTCTCCTGCCCTTGCCCCCCGGGCCTGTTGGTCAGGTTGTGGGAGCGAGCTAGGGAGCCTCGGGCATGCTTGCTCGGAGTTTGGCATGGGCCCTCACGAAGGACCCAAATTCTGCAGTCCGCACCGGAGTCGGCTGTGCAGAGCAAACTGTGGCTTGGAGGCCAGCGAGGTGGAGGCGCCCGAGTTTGACGCCAGGAGACAGGCCAATGGCTTCACGCACAGGATTACTGGATGGGCAACTCTGAGCAAATCACTTACAAACTCGGTTTGGTCTGTAAATTGGGCACAGTAATCCCTCCCATCCCAGCCTCCCAGGGGCATTGAGCTTCAGAGGAGACCCAGCATCGGGAAAAACACTTTGCACCCAGAAACGTTGTGCTTTGTCAAATGCCAGCGGCGCTGGAGAGCTGAGGTCTCCAGCCTGAAGCCCCTGAGGATGCACCTAACAGAGAGACACGGAGGTCCCCCATTCTTGTTCTTTTTCCTCTTACACGCCTGCTTATCTTTCACTCCTTCCTGGTTCCCTTGCCTTCCTAGTGTTCTTTTCTACTTTCTACACATCCTTCCTTGACCCTCAAGTCCAGCCCCCTTCTCCAGCCACAGCCTGCCTGCCAGCTCACCTGTCCAGGGAGACGGCGGCCAGTGTGAAGCTGCTGGCATGCGCGGTGAGGAAGATGAGGCAGTGCACCGCCTCGCAGAGCAGCGAGCCGAACACCCAGTCGTCCAGGGTGTAGATGGTGGCCTGGAAGGGCACGCAGCACACGATGAAACACAAGTCGGCCACGCTCAGGTTGAGGATGAACAGGTTGGTGGTGCTGACCGCCTGGCCACCACGAAGCAGCACGGCCAGCACCAGTGAGCTGCCTATGGTGCCCACGAGGAAGATGAGCGCAGATAGCATGGGCACGACGGCCGCCTCAGGCTGCCAGCTATCCCGGCCGCCCGCCTCGTTCGTGTCCTCGGTGTCCAGGCCACCCGAGCCATTCGTAGTGCCGCTGCACCGGGGCTGCCCCAACTTCTGCAGCCGTCTGCGTCCTGGCGAGCGCGCAGCTCCGGCGGCTTCAGCCGCTGCAGCGCCCAGAGCGACTCGGCGGAGCTGCGGGCGGAGTGAGTCTCGCGGAGGCTGGGGCAGGAGAAGCGGGTGCGCTGGGGGCAGGGGAAGGAGCGAGCAGCCGAAGGGTGGGGTGTTCCCCCTGGCGGCCGGCCGCGCTGGGGGAAGGGCTGTCCAGTGGCCTCGGCGCGCCCCGGCCAAGGCACAGGCTGCCCACCCTTGGGGCGGAGGGCCACGCCAGTGTCTGTTCCCCGGCCCTCCGGCGTCGTCGGCGCGCTCCAGCCTCCGACTCCGGGCTGTGCCGGGCTGAGCAGCGAACCGACCCCCGGGGCAGACGCCGGAGTGGTGGAGGGACCGCCTGCCGGGAGCGCTCGCCCGCTACCCCGTGCGCCTCGGCACTTCCCTGCAGCCTGGCGGGCGCGCCAGACCTCCTGGGGCAGGCTAGGGGGCGTCCTCGAGAGAGTTCCAGGTGGCCCCTAAAGCGTGGGGTGGGAGTGATGGAGGGCGGAGGCGGACGGGAGTGCTGCCGTTTTCCAGACCTGGCGAGTGGGACGGCCCCGGCGTGTGCCCCACGCCTCTTCCCACTTCTAATTCCCAGGAGTAGCGGTGGGGATGGTGGAAGGATTTCATTCCCTTCTCTCCCTCACTGAGCGTCTCCCCCTCCAATTCAGTCCGGTAAAAATTTATTGAGCATCTGCCGTGTGTCAGGCTCTGTTCCTGGCGCCGTGCCTCGGTTTCCTCAATATTACAATATGGGCTAATAACACCTTCTCAGAGGGCTCTGGTGAGAATGGAATGAGATGTGTGTGAGAGACCTGAGGCCAGTTGGTAGAATCTGGATGAATCCAACTCTTCTTTTTCTCCTTACCCTATTCAGATATCCAACAAGGGGAAACTTAAAGGAAATACAAAACAGCAGAGGACCATATGCATCAGGAGCATTTTCCTAGATAGCCAGGAGGGTGTTTAGGTTGCAAAAAAACAACTTAAATATTTGTTTCTGATTTTGACATACTGGGCATCAAACATCCGTGACCCAGAATCATCACTGTTTCTATATAATTTTAAAACTGGGTTTGAACATCACTACCTTCTGTTAGCTTGACCTCTGCTTCCCCTTTCCTTGCCCTGTTCCTTGAGTCCTAGTCAAAAGCATTCTTTTTCCACTTTCCCCTCCAGGATCTCAGCCTCAGGAGCCCAGCCACCTGCTCCTCTTGGTAAGGAAACCTTATTCACACCTCTGCCCTGCCTGCTTATTCACGGAATAGGAAGATAATAACCATTCATGTTTCTGAGATGCTTGCCATTCATTTATTGAATACACATTTATAAAGCACCTACTCCTTTCCAGGCACTGTTCTAGGTCCTTGGGATTTACCAGTGAGCTCTACAAAGATCAAGGCCCTTCCTTTCTAGCAGGCAAGAGACAATAAATATAACTCAAGTTATTAATCAATTACAAGTTAAGTACTTTCAGGAAAAGTAAATCACGGTGAGGGAATTGGGAGTACTGGGGTGGTGGTGATGGTGCAATTTAAAATGGGGTGGTCAAGCAGACCTCATTAGGAAGGTGACATTTGAGCAAATGTCAGATATCAGATAGCCAAGGGAAGTGCATTCCAGATAGGACAGCCAGTGCAAAGGCCCTAAAGCAGGAGTGTGCCCATGTCCCTAAGCAAGGAGGGTGGTATGGCTTGAATGAACAAGAAGGAGATTGGCACAAGAGAAGGTGAGAGGCATAGCATGTAGGACTTTTTTCCATTGCAAGGAAGTCTTCTAGTCTGACTAAAAAGAGGAGCCATTGCAGAGTTTTGACTAGAGGACTAACATCATCTGACTTACTTTTTTAAAAAAAGCTTTATTGAAATATAATTCACATACCATATAATTTACCCATATAAAATGTTCATTTGTTTCTTAGTATATTCACAGAGTTGTGCAACCATCACCACAATCAATTTTAGGATGTTTTTGTTCCTGCCTCCCACCCCTAGCCCTACACAACCACTCTTTGTCTCTATAGACTTGCCTATTCTGGACATTTTATATAAATGGAATCATACAATATGTGGCCTTCTGTGTATACCTTCCTTCACTTAGCCTAATGATTTCAAGATTCATCCACAATGTAGCATGTATCAGTATTTCATTCCTTTTTATGGCCAAATAATATTCCATTGTATGATAATCACATTTTGTTTATCAAATTCATTTGCTGATAGACATTTGGGAGACTTACTTTTTTAAAAATTATTTTTAATTTTTGGTAAAATATACAAAACACAGTTTGCCACCTTAAACATTTTAAGTGCATAGTTCAGTAGTGTTAAGTATATTCACATTGGTGTGCAACCAATCTCGAGAACTTTTTGATCTTGCAAAACTGACCGTCTATACCCATTAAACAATAACTCTCCATTTCCCCTGCCTTTAGCCCCCAGCAACCAATCATTCTACTTTCTATGAATTTGACTACACTAGATACCTTATATAAGTGGAATCATACCATATCTTTTCATGACTGGCTTACTTAGCACAATATTTCCAAGCTTCAATCATGTTGTAGCATGTGTCAGAATCTCCTTCCCTTTTAAGGCTGAATAATATTCCGTTGTATGGACAGATCATATTTTCCTTATCCCTGAGGGCCGCTGGGTTGCTTCCATCTCTTGGCTATTGTGAATAATGCTACTATAAACGTGGGTGTACAAATAACTCTTCAAGACCCTGCTTGCATTCCTTTTGGATATATACCCAGAAGTGAAATTGCTGGATCATATGGCAATTCTTTTGATTTTATAAAGAGCTGCCATACTGTCTTCCACTGTGGATGTACCATTTTATATTTGCACCAAAAGTGCACCAAGGTTACAATTTCTCCACATCCTCGCCAATACATGTTATTTTCTGTTATTATTATCCTTTTAATAGTAGCCACCTTAATGGGTGTGAGGTGATCACTCATTGTGGTTTTGATTTGCATTTCCCTAATGATTAGTGCAGACTTACTTTTAAAATGCACCATTTAATTTAGTCTTCATAACCACCCTAATTGGTTATCCCCATTCACAGATGAGGGAAAAGGTTTAGAGGGAGATTATTTGCCCAACATCTCCCAACCAGTAATGGCAGAGCCAGAATTGGAGCTGCAGAGATCCGACTCCAGAGCTCACAGTGCCATATTGCAGAGGAAAGATTCATGGTATCCCTCGCTTCAGCACTTCTCACTCCTCGGACTGCTCGACCGGAAGTCCAGGGAAGGGCACCGATCCCCATCCATTAGGGAAAGTCCCTGCACTATGGTCGGCTCCAAAGGAAAGCGCAGACAGAGGCGGTTCCCTCCCAGGCATGGTGTTTCGATGCGTAGGGTGGGAACCCCATCTCCGGAGCCCCCGGGGAGGTAGACGCTCCGAAATCCAAAGGTCTTAGCCAACTGCACCCGCTCTCTGTGCGCGGGACGTGAGCCGGATCCCCTGTGCAGGGATGCAGGAGGTGCGGGAGGGGGACATCTCCGGGTCCTCCACCCTTGGTGGATGGGAAGTAGGATTGCCCCCGGGAGACCTCAGCAGTTACCGCATCCGCGAGTTTCTGGGCCCTCAGCCTAGCCCCCCACCGTTTGAGACCCGGAAGCCTAGTCCACGCGCAGGCGCACTCCAACAAGTGGCCGCTGTCTGCGGGCAGGGCCGTCGGCGGCGGAGTCCGCCGGTATCCCGTCAGCCCGTCCGAGCCGGCTCCGCTCTCTCTCTCTCTCCCCGGTCGTCCCGCCTTCTCTATCCCGTCCTGCTCTGCGGCGCAGGGGCAAGATGGCTGCAGAGAAACAGGTTCCTGCAGGCGGCGGTGGTAGCAGCAGCGGCGGTAGCGGTGGTGGACGCGGTGCCGGAGGAGAGGAAAATAAGGAAAACGAACGGCCTTCAGCTGGATCGAAGGCAAACAAAGAATTCGGAGATAGCCTGAGTTTGGAGAGTATCCTACAGTAATCGGGCCTAACTCGCAATGACTACGTGTCGATCTGGCGGGCCGGGGGCGGGAGAGGCGGCGGGTTGCGGCACGACCTGGGCAGGAGAGGCCGAAGGTTGAAGTTTCTCTCGCTTCTACTTTTTGGCGCTTAGAGTTTCAGGGTCTGGTTTTCGACTGGCCTTTCCTCGCATCTTCTTTGTCCTCCAGTCTGGGGAACGTCCTCTTCTTTCAAGCGGCACCGGAATATTGGGCAGTTTTCTTCAGTTTCCCCGCAGTTGCCCAGTTGGAGGGCTGGTGATGGGGCTGACACTGGCCACTCTGGTGAACTACTGCCTTGGCAACTGGGGCCACTGAACTGGGGAGAGGAAACTGCAGTCTTGACCTTTTGGCCTAATACTTCTGTCTGACAGCCGTCGGGGAATGGCTAATAAAAATTACAGTTTGATGCTTTGGAAGTGGAGGTAAAGGTTACACGTTGTAAGGGAAAGCTTATTGCCCATTTTGAATATAAATCATTGTAGGTTGTTAACGTTACTTGTATAGCTTTCTTAATAGGTCTGTAGACCTTTAATCTTGTTGAGAGTCATTCAGATGAATCGGTTTCTAGTTTTCATAAGAGTGTACCACAGTTGAGGGTTGATGACATTAGTTTGTGGCTTTTTGAAATGAATAAGTAGTGGAGAAAATGTAGGTGAATTTCTGAAATAATACATTTAGCTTGACATCTTAATATAGTGAAGTTTTCAGGAGATTGAAGTTTTACTTTTTGAACTGGTGGTATCCTTTCAAATGGATGTTAGAATGCCTTGATTTTACTGCACACCTTATATATGTTTGTCTCTTTTTAGTTATTGAAATAGCCCTTTTATTGTTCAGTGTTTTAATATTCATCTGTAAAGAAGCATTGGGGAAACTTTAAAAGAAAACTAAAATTGTAGACAAAGGTCGTTGGACTTCCTGAAGTTTGGGACATAATCTTAAAATATTTTAAGGTTCTTAAAAAGGAGAGTTTGCTCAGGGCTTTTTTTTAAAAAAGAAAAACTAGTATTTTAATGCAAATTGTGGTCTGGTTTGGTTGGCATGTGCTCACCATAGGCACATGCAGCATCACAGCTGTTAAGGAAAGTCAGATTTGGCAGATGTAGGAGGTTATGCAAATAGAGTAGTACACGTCATTTATAACCTGAATCTGCTAAAATGAGTAAAACATTGGGTCCAGGTGTAAATCACTGGGAACCACCCCAGATGTAGTCAGTATTTAGAATCCAGCAGCTTTAGCTGTTGGATCTCATTAATCCTCAATGGCTGATGATGCCCTCCTTTTTTAGTTTGAAAATAGTAACAGTTCAGGCAGTCAGCTTCTCTACATGCTTAGCCCTGGTCCTGTCCTATGATAAGATAGCTATTGAAAATGCTTACCAGAAATTTCACTAATTGTACTAAGTATTTCAGAAATGTTTAATGTGCTGTGATTTGATACAAATGTAGACTAATAGTACTAATATAGATGAATGTTTTGATTCATTTGGATTCTTGGCACTGTAAGCTTTTCCTTAATCTTCGCTCTAGTTCTTCAGATTATTAAGGAATCCCAGCAGCAGCATGGTTTACGGCATGGAGATTTTCAGAGGTACAGGTTAGTATCATGTGCAAGATATGTACAAATCTCTGTGGAATTTTCAAATTTGGTTTTTTGCTTTTTTACTGTTCTACTTAATTCTGCTGTACCAGAAAGTATACCTAGAAAGTCTAGTTCTTAACTTGTATTGAATTCTCAAGAAGATACTTAATTTTCAAATTTAAAAGGAGCCAATCTTTTTATCCATTTTGTCTCACAATATTGCAGATACATTGGAGGCTTCTGCTGAAAATAACAGTTATGGTAATCTTTTTTTTTTTTTTTAAACTTAACCGTATTATAGCATCTGGGTTACATTCCAGCTGTTGGCAATCACTGTTCTGATTTCCATTGTTATAGTTTTGCTTTTTTCAGAACATAGCCTTTTGTGTCTAGATTCTTTCACCTAATAGATACTGCTCAGTAGTATTCCATGGCAGGGATGAGTCGCAGTCTGCTTTTGTTCCCCAGTTGAATGGCTATTGGTTGACTCTGATTTTTGTTTTTGTTTTTTCTAGTTATTATTAATTGTTTTCAATGTTACATTTTTAATTAGATTTTTTGGTGGTAAAATATTATAACATAAAAATGACTTTGATGTGTACCTTTTAGTATGTTTTTATGTCTTTTAGTACATAAATATATTTGTATGTATGTGCCTACCAAGTAGTATTTTTGTTCTTCTAATCTCTTTCTATGCATTTTTTTCATAAGTTTGCTCATATTGTATATACAACTTTGTGTTCTGCTTTTTTGCCGAACGTTATATGGTATGTATTTCTCCATGCCTATAAAAATGTTCCATACACATGATTTTTATTAGTTGCATTATATAACTCAATATATAGGCCTACCATAATTTATTTACCTATTCCCCCAAGTTGGTTATTTATATCCTAGCCAGTTTTGTAGGTTTAAAAATATTGTTCCCGTGAATCTCTGTTCATACCTCTTTGTATTTCTGATCATTTCTTTAGTATAGAGTAGTATAGAAATAGACGGTCAGTTCAGGGAGTATGAACATTTTTAAGGATCTTGATAAATGTATCCATATTGCCGGAAAATTTTTACCGATTTATATTTCTACTCATAATGTGTGAGTGTCCCATTTGATTTTTATGTGAAAGGGTAAGTGATAATTAAAGCATAATTATGAATCGAAGGAAAAGATCTAGTTCATAGATTCGGTCAGACTATTATTTCTTCTTTTTAATAATCTGTGCTCTGGTAGCTTTTTTATTTTAATAAATTCATTTGTTTATTTTTGGCTGTGTTGGGTCTTCGTTGCTGCGCTCGGGCTTTCTCTGGTTGCAGCGAGCGGGGGCTACTCTGTATTGTGGTGCGTGGGCTTCTCATTGCGGTGGCTTCTCTAGTTGCAGAGAACAGGCTCTAGTCACACGGGCTTCAGTAGTTGCAGCATGTGGGGCTCAGTAGTTGTGGCTCATGGGCTCTAGAGTGCAGGCTCAGTGGTTGTGGCACACGGACTTAGTTGCTCCGCGGCATCTGGGATCTTCCCTGACCAGGGCTCGAACCCTGGTGTCTCCTGCATTGGGAGGCGGATTCTTAACCACTGCGCCACCAGGGAAGTCTGCTCTGGTAGCTTTAAGACTGAGATTTTGAAGTACCATTTAATATCATTTTGCGTTGTAAATTTTATGCTATATTATTTGATTAAGGGTGGTAAAATTTTACATGTACTTTTACACAATTTAGTCAAAATACATTTATTGCACATCTGTATGTTAGGCACTGTGCTATGACATTGGGGGAAACTTGAAAATAAAATCATCTTTGCACTAAAGGAGTTTATGTTAGTGAGATAGACATAATAAGAACATCATATAATGCCCTCATATTGTAGTAGAAGTAAGAATAAGAAGTTGCATGAGTACAGAAGAGAGAGGCTTGGCATAGAGGTGATGTTTATGAGTTTTCTTATTGATATCCTAATTAACCTCCTCATTTTTCTTCAAATATGCTTGCAGTTTCTTTCTCCACGTCTTCATTGTCATCACAGTCTCCCTCAGGATGCCCCTTCTTCCCTTTTACAACCATCAGAATCCTACTCATTCTTTCGAAACCCACCATAAGTCCACTCCAGCAAAGTGGGTTAGCAAGAAGAGAATGATTACTTGTGTTCTATACGTTCAATTTGACATTGGCCTTGTTTTTTTGGTTGCCATTCTATCTGCATGATTCTCTCCAACTAGAGTATGGGTTCTGTGAGAATGGTACTGTGTCCTTGTCTCTTGATGTTTTCTGTGATACGAGTCATATTGCTTGCAAGTTTCCATTCAATAAATGTTTGCAAGAGGATGCTGGTATCTATAGCAACCATAAGTAGAATACCCCGAACTTTTGACCTTACCTTATTGTAGAATTTACTATTGAACGTATTATCAGCTTGGCCGAATGATTTTTGGTTGTGGTTTCCTACAGAGGCTACTGTTCCCGTAGACAAAGACGTCTTCGGAAAACACTCAACTTCAAGATGGGGAACAGACACAAATTCACAGGGAAAAAAGTAACTGAAGATCTTCTGACTGATAACAGGTATTGACTGCTCAGTGCTAAGTGCTGAATGCATCTCGCTAATACATTTATTGAACAGTTACAGCATGACAGGTATTGTGTCAGACTCTTAGTTATTTTACGTGATCCTGTGGAATAGACATCTTTACTACTCCTGTGTTATAAGATGAGGAGACTGAGCCTCAGAGAGACTCTCTAACTTGTTCAGGAGCTATGGCAGAATGGTAAATGTTGAAGTCAGCGATTAGACTCTAACTGGTTATTAGGTAAGGTTTCTAGAACGCAAATCTCAATGTCTGAATACTTACTTAAATCATTATGTCTTAAGCAAAATCTGGCCATGTGTAAATTATTACAGAAGAGTTTTGTATTTCAGTGCTGAATGCATTCATGCTTAACATGACAGGATTACTCTATGAAAGCAATATGTATTAAAAGTCTGTGGGTCAGGGGCTTCCCTGGTGGTGCAGTGGTTGAGAGTCCGCCTGCCGATGCAGGGGACATGGGTTCGTGCCCCAGTCCGGGAGGATCCCACATGCCACGGAGCGGCTGGGCCCGTGAGCCATGGGCGCTGAGCCTGCGCGTCTGGAGCCTGTGCTCCGCAATGGGAGAGGCCACAACAGTGAGAGGCTCGCGTACCGCAAAA